AATGTTGACGGTCGACCGCCGATGGTTACAGGTGATACTTAGTAGGCAGTTTAGGGGTTTACAAAACAATAAATATGATTGTGTGGAATTAAAAAAACAAAAGAATAAAAGCGTGAAAAAATAAAGAGGCATCTATGTCGCCGACCTGCTGTCAAGATCGACGAGGAGATTAAATTCCCCAGAAGTATTTATTGAAAGTGTTTGATATGTTTATGTGGAGTGTTGTGTGGTGTAGGTCTCTATATATATTTTTATTTTTTGTATGTTTATGTGTATGTTGTTGTCTTTTATTGTTGTGTACTTGTTGTGTGAAGCTTAGGTAGCCATATTTATACATGAAAAAAAAAATTGGGTACAACATAGAATAAAAATTTAATTGTAATTAAATTAAAAAATTAATTACAATGTATATGGTTAAAATTAAATTATGTTTTATCTTATTATATTTTCGGTGTTTGTTTTTACTTTTTAGTATATTTGCTTTGTTATTTAAATATTAATATTATGATATTACATTAAACATTTGTAAGAAATAATTCTTAGATGTTATTTTGAGTTCATTCAAATATTATGATAATTTTTAGAATCAACCATCCAATTTTATTATATGCAAGTAAAGACCAAAACACGATACATTACGCTATACGCGTTTTAAAACACTGATTTCAAGCCACTATATCCTAACCAAACTTATTAAGGTCCCGCGCATGCACGAGTCAAAGCTCAATTGGAGCTCAAATTTGACTAAGTTGAGTTGAAATCGAGCACCTCAAACTCGAACTAAAATTTTACTCAAGTTTGTTTGTCATAAGTTCGAGTGCTCAACAAATCACTCAAGTATAACTGTAATTTATCTAAACTGGAGTCAAATTCACAAGTCACATTTTTATTTTTCCTCCTCTTCCTCTTTCTCGTCTTTGTGAATAGTAAACTTTCCAAATCCCCGAAACCCTCATTTCTCAAATCCTCTTTGCGTCTCCTCACATGTGGGTGCTTCCAACCCCCGCAGTGTCGACTGACACTGGGCGACAGTTATTTTCCCGACATGTTATCGTTCCCTCTACTGGCGTGGCGCTTCTCCCTTTGTTCGGGTAGTCATGGCGGGGGCTTTGGTGTGGGTTCCGATGGCTTGCCAGCGAATTCATTGTGTTGGAATCATGTCGCTGTCTTTTGCGGCGGTCGGGGATGATGTCGATAACTACCTCTTCCCTGTGTCCTACTTTTCTCTTTTGCTGGGATGCTGTGCTCTCTAGCGGGGGAGACTTTCGGCTCCAGTCATTATCAACCGTAGTCGTCAGATTTGTGTTGGAAGATGGGATGGTAGCAGCCGAGCAGGCCTCCGGTTCCTGTTCCGATGGTGTTCCATTTGGTAGAGGTTTTTGGTCCGTTTGGTCTGGATCTAGTCAGCCGTAGCAATATTGGAGTTTCTGAATCTCGACTTGGGTCGTATTTCTATCTATTTTGGGTGGTCGCCCTCGGGTGTTGGCTTTTGTGGGGAGGGTCGGAGTGGCTTGTCGGCTGGTGGGGAGAGCCTTATTCTAGTTATTAGGATATTTTCGTGTAGGTTGTGTTCTTGTTTGTCTGTGTTGTTTTTTGTTTTGTAGTTTTACTCTCCTTTTTAGGAGCATGTATTCTCCAGTAGTAGGAGTATGTAGTCTTACGAGTGTGTTGTGTTAGTGGTGTTGATTATAGATTTAGTTGTATAATTACTTAAGTCGGTTGTACTGGTTATTTTCAAGTCTATAAATATGTGTTTTATTTACAAGCTATGTCGTTAAAAAAACAAAAAAATAAAATAAAAAATAAAAGGATAAAAAAGCCAAATTGAAAAAAACAAATCATATTTGAGTGTTCAAATTTGAATGAAAAATTGAGCCATTGCATATATTTTTACTAGCCAAGTTGAGCCATAAATTAATGACATCATTTAGCGTTCTTATATTAAATTTAGCTTAGATATTAAATTACAAGTTTACAGAGTTAGGTTTATTAATTTTAGCGTATCTAGTCGAGCCCTCCAATATATTAATTCAGAACATGCTGAGTCTAAGTGGCAGGCTCGCATTCTTCGGGATTCTATGTGACAAAATTACACCTTCGTTTAGCAAAATTACATTATTAGAGCACCTACAATGCTTTGGGTCTTTTTAAAAAAAAATCACATGTCATGTAGCAAATAGACATAGTGTATAAAAAAGTGTTTCACAATGCAATTAAAAGTGGACCTAGTCTAGCTTATGCGGCAATAAAAAAAGAGACCAAGTCCACTCTTGGGTCTATTTTGGACCAAAGTGTGAACCTTACAATAGCAATTATTTACTATTATTATATTTTTATTGGTTGTTAAGTATTATACACCTAGTACCTTTTTTTGCATTGGATAGATTTTGAATTTTTTAGCTTGAGTTTGTTCATGTCATTATAGACTTAAGTCTATTTAATTACCACATATGCAAAAAGAGACCCAAAGCTTTGTGGGTGCTCTTAGGCTTAAGTAGATTTTAATTTAATTCAAATCAAAAAATAATTAGGTCCGAATTATCCACAAGTATGTTGATTATTTATTATCACGTTACATGTATTAATTGCATTTTTTATAGCATTTCTTATTATAACCATTGAATTATAAATGTATTTTAAAAGTTAATAATTTTTGTAATTTTTATCAGTTCTACATATATAATATATCAAATTAATCATCTCTTGATGAGCGTCGATTTAACATCCATATTGTATGCATAAAAAAAATAAATTATATTTATATTTATAATTTGGCAAAATTACATTATTAGGCTTAGTTAATTTAATTCAAATCAAAAAATAATTAGGTCCAAATTATCCACAATTATGTTAATTATTTATTATCACGTTACATGTATTAATTGCATTTTTTATACCATTTCTTATTATAACCATTGAATTGTAAATGTATTTTAAAAGTTAATAACTTTTGTATTTTTAATCAGTTCTACATATATAATATATCAAATTAAACATCTCTTGATGAGCTTCTATTTAACATCCATATTTTATGCATAAAAATAAATAAATTATATTTATCTTTATAAGAATAATAAAATTATTTTTTAATATTAATTAAATAATAAAATTATTGATTAATTAATATATTTATATTTAAAGTAGTTATATGATATAAGTTATAAAAATTACTATAATATAACACATGTAAATCGCACAAGTAACAAGTGTCATTATAAAATATATAATAATATATTTTTTGTAAGAAAGTAAATAAAATTTAAAATAATTTTTTTCATTAATTTTAAAATTTAAAAATAATTATTTAACAAGCTCCCGTGTAATACACGGGTGTTGTGAGGTATTAATTAATATATGTCCATAAGAAACATTATTTTTACATAAAAAAATACACAAATTCTTATGTGAGACAACTAAATATTATGTTAGTTGATGTACCATAATATTCTAATATATGCCATATTTTTATTCATATTATTATTATTATTTAAAATATCACATTTAATTTAAAAGTATTTTCAAAATTATTTGTGAAAATATGTAACAAAACGACTTCTAGTTGTTTCGAAGAATTACGTTAATCATGAAATTCAAAAATAAATAGTATATTAGTACGACACCCATGTACTATACGAGTTGTTTGAAAAAAAAAATATATAACATAATATAATAGAAAAAACACATGTTGTTGTATAAAAGTACAAAATTAGAAAATACCAAAGTCGATATTATTTCAAATTTTGAAAAATTTCTTTGTACACAACATTAATAGTTTTATTTACAATTTTTCCATCCTTATCGCAACACAGAATTTTCAAGTCTCTCCTACTTAAAATTCAATTTTTGTAAGATGAATAATCGAGATGAAGGGGAATTAGAATGAAAGGGATGGTGATTTAAATAATGTAGAGAACAACTACACTTTATTCATTCAATTTAATAGTAAATATAATTTTGGAGGAGATCGGATTAAGCAAAAATATATTATATTAAGCAATCCGATAAAAAAGTCAATGTAGATAATGTACAAAATCATTTTAGTCAAATATTGCGGCTATTATCTATATCAGTTGCATAGTTTAAATTTGATATATAATATATTGTCAATGTATAATATATTTGGTATATAATATTAAATGATTGAATAATAAAAAAATGGAAGTAAAAGTAATGATTGAATAATGAAAAAAAAAATTAAACAATTAAGGAAAAGGAAATAGTAGGAAAAAATTAAATGATAAAAGGAAAGGAAATAATGTAACATATTTGGTAATTACGGATTGCCTAAAATTATGCATAATATTGAATTAACTTTATGATGGTAGATCAAATGTTATTTTGAATGGTGTACCGCATCAATTGTACAACCAGATGATGTAGCAAAATTAGTCATCATTAGGATATAGCAAAATTAAAGTTATGTGGCTAATGTAACGCACACATGCTGTATCTATTTCAATATATAATTAGAGTTATTTTGGTGTCTTAATACTTTTCCAGAGTAGAATCCTTTAGTTCATAAAATAATGATCATTTATAATTTATCATTATTGGAGGACAAAAAAAAATCTTATTTACACGGCATATTAGAATTCTATTTATTTTGAAGATACTATTTATTAAGTATTTTATTTTAAACAATTAGGTAATGTATTCGAATCAAAAGCCGAAGCATGTAGTAAACTTCCGAAGCGTGCGAGACAATCATTTAAGCTCAGCACATTTTGAAATTATATTAAAGAAGAAATTTTTTAAATAATCCGTAAAAACAAACACCCTGTCCCAAAATATTATACTTCATATTAAACAATATAATATAAAACATTATTAGATAACTTTCCTAGGAAAGGAAATCAATTAATATTCAAGATTACATTATTTTTCAATCTAAAACCTTCCACGATTAGGAAAGTAACTAATTCACCTTCCATGTTTAAGAAAAGACCGAGTCTACATATACTCACCATATTCATTCAATCACAAAAAAATCCACACACGCAATGAACGATAAATTGGTTGTTGACGTTTTGAAGGAAGGTGGATCGGAGCCACAGTTGAAGAAGGAAGTCTTGGATAATAAGCTCGATGGCCTTTCAGCTTCTACTTGTTCAAATCAACCTTCAAGCTCCGAGATTTCGAGGTTCGAAGGTGGAAGCATGCTAGTGGATCCTAATGATCCGAGGTTCTTTGGATTTGGCTTTCCTGAAAATTCTCAGCCCGGGGCCCGTTTTGATCCGTATGGCCCGCCTGGCGTGCCAGGGTTTGGGCCAGCCCAATTCACGAGGAACCCTCCAAGGCCAGGTGGAGGGCCCCACTCGGACTTGCACCATTTTCACGACGGCTCGGATTTTATATGACAAGGAACAATCGTACATGGATCTCTCTTTTTCTGTGTGCTTCTTTTTGTTTGAACTAGTAAAGTGCACGTGCGATGCACGTGACGGCGAATGTTTTTTACCGATTAAATTTAGTGAGATAATTTAATTAATGTATTACACATTTGACTGCAGGAACAAAATAAAATGTAGAATAAATAAACTTTTCATGCATTTTATTTTAAATAAAAAAATGTTGTCATAATATAAAAAGATTTAAATATCATATTACAACTCCAACAAAAATATATAAAAAATGAGTTCCTAATGAAAAAACAATAAATGATTAAATAAAGACATAATGTATATTATAGATGCATGAGTTCTTTTATTTATTTATGTTAGATTCAAGAGTCGTTTTCTTTTATTTTGGTTTTGATGTTCTCATAAGAAACATTCATACTCGTTGAATTCTAATACATCAATAGTATTACAAAATTCTTCTTAATTAATTTTGCAAAACATCTGTTTTATTCAACACTTAGAAATACTTTGGCCAAATATATATTCAAACTTTTTGATTGTATGATCATTATAAGGTATTTCTACTAATAGTTCATAAGTATCTCTGTGAAATAAATAATTGTATCATTAAATTTCTTGATATTTGTGTCATTAAAATTCTTGATATTTCTTTTAATCAATGTATAAGCTACTACATTTTTCTCTCTCTCTCTCTCCCTCTCTCTCTCTCTCCACATAGACAAATTAGTACTTACCCCTTGAGGTGGGAACAAATTTCATCTCTAAATAAAATTTGATTTTCCAAAATCATGTACTTCTATGAAGATGCTAAATTATTTTTTTGAAATCATCACACATTACATGAAAATATGTACTCTAAAACAAATGCGCGTATGATCGAGCACAATACACAATTATGATTGTAAATTTTTATCAAAAAGTGACAACTTATTCAACATTCAAAAATATTTTAATCAGTATTAAACATTCCCTTTTCAGTGTTATTAATTTGGAAGATAGATACCTTCCATATTCTTTCAGATTTGCAATATTTATGTGTCTAATAACATTTATTGCGTTTATTGTCCAATGTTATCATAACTAATTCTTAAAAAATTCAAGATAAAGATCCTTCATTGATTCTTCAATAATAACAAAACAAAACAAAACAAAACAATGAGACAATATTTAGAAGTAAAATATTTCAGATGAGAAGAATTTGAATTATACTATATTATGATACTCTTAGTCATTTGTTAACTTTATTATTATGAAGTCATTATTAAAGTTTATGGTCTATTTTATGATAATATCGAATCATTATTTATGAGAACTAATTTCTTATAGAGAATATATACTTAAATGCTAGCAACAAAAAAAGTAGTAATTTTAAAAGATTTTTGTTTCTTGATATTAGTATTCATACTTTTCTAAAAAAATTTAGAATTTTTCTTTTCCTCATTGCATTACTATTGGTTTACTTGTTTTTTATTTGTTTTATTTTATTCACAAAAAAAATTTTATTTCTTGAAAGAATTAGAGAATATTATATGCAATGCATTCTTTTTACGTGTTTGATAGTAATAATATACTTGATAAAAATGTAGTTTTATATTGTTTATAATATTAAAAGGTTTTGAATTTATTTCCATGTTCTGATAAAATATTAAGTAACTAATTCATGTTTATATTCACAAAAAATATTTTTTACAACCATTATGGTGTTCCCTTTCAAGCAATAATTGAATAATAGTTTAACATACAACTGATTTATTTTTTTGTTTTAATTCACATATTTAATATTGGTATAGTTGTACAATTACATCTAATTGACTTTTTCCTTAGTATGAATATTTCAAATCTATGTCAGAAAATTATACCACAAGTTTATCTAATATTATTTTATAATTAATAAAATTAATTTAACATGGATCTATAATTATTTTATAAGATTCTTTTAGGTCTATTTATTATTTTAAATTGGTATTGGTATATATATATTATTTTACATCGATATAAATAATTATATTATTTTTATTTTATTTACAAAACATTGGTAAAATCAAATATCATGGGAAAGAAATGATTTGATATATTACATATAAAAGGGTAACCAAAAAAAATAAATAAAAATAAGTATTTCAAAATTAAGAAATTTAATGGTGTAAATTAACTAATTTTTTAACTAAAAAATTATGACTAACATACCGATTTCTAAGACAAAAAAATAAATATATTTTTTATAAATGTGCATCTCAAGTATATTTTACATTTATCATTCGCTAGCTCCAATTGATATATGACATTTATTAATTTTATCATTTTTTTTTTATTTTTGAGTGGAATGTCAGTTATAAGCTTTCTCATTGTGTAGTTTTACCTTTTTATTACGTAGAACATCATCTTTACATCTTGTTTAGTATTAATATTACCTTTTCAGTAGAACATCATTCTGGCCTCTTCTTTGATTATTATAATACTAATAAAATATTTAAGGACTTTTCAACTTATATGTATTTTTTAATTACTAATTATCATAAATTAAATGATAATTACATTAAATATGTTATATTTTGTATCATTATTTACAATTTTCAAAACAATTAACTGCACACAATATTATATATAGTGCGAATTTTTTAGTTTGATTTGGAGTCATACTTTTATTACAAGAAAATGATGAAATTCCAATGAAAACATATTACAGCGAAATTTCGAGAACAATTCTAACGAATATTTCAACGTTACAATTTTCGTTTGAATTTTTCAATGAAAATTATAACAAAAATATTTTGTTGCAATCATGTGCAGATCCATGTTTGTCCAATAGTCCCGAAACTGGCATCATCCCAAAACAAATAGCATAAGATATCTAACAAACATTATGGGAATATTTTTCATAATTTTAATCATGTCCTCTATTTAGAAAATAAAATTAAAAGAATAAAGACAAATAATGATTAATTTACAACTCAACCAATTATAATTTAATTCAACTCATAACGTTATTAAAATTATAACATCAATGCGGTATCCCAACTAAAGAAAATATGATATCAAATTTTACAATTTTACGCTCTATTTCTCTCTGTTCTTTTTATTCTTGATGATATCTTATTATCTCTCTTTTGCGACCTAATTTTTATCTAATTTTAGAAAATATATTTTAAGTCTTTTTTAAGTGTATGTAGAATTCTAGTTATATATTCGTAATTTATACAATCATCTATTATATTGTCGAGTCAACTATACTACAACATAAAATTTTTGTTCATAAAAAGATTTTGAAAAATGTATTATTTTTTTATGATTTTCTTATGTCGAATTGAGAAAAACTATGCTTTTTTTTTTAATTATTGAATTTATTGTGATTGTATTGATGTGTTAAAAAAAGTATTACATATGAGAAAGTTGACAAATTAAGAAAAGTATACTTTATAAATTGTAATGACATTATGTTGTTTTGATGCAATACTTTTTGTATACTTTATAAATTGTAATGACAAATAGTTGAGAATATTTAGATCTTTTATAAGTATTTATTATGTTGTTTTTGTTGCATAATTTTTTATTTAAATAAATTTTATATATTAAAATGATTATATATGATTACGATTTTATCATCAAAATTATATTAAAAATAAGGACGTTATTCAAAAAAGAAATTCAATATCATTTCAAAACTTTGTTGTTTGGGTTAATGTTGAGTTGATTTTTTAGAGATATTGAAGAAAACGGTTTGGGAGATATGTACTGGAAGAAACTAAATTCTTGAAGAATAATGGTGTGAATATTGTGGTTGATTTTTAAGAGATGTGGAATGTTTTGTTTATTTAATTGTATTAAATGAATAAAATATTAAATGAGAATTAGTGTATTACTAATTTGAGGTTAAAAATATGTCAAATAAAGAGAATTTAGGTACATATTAGTTATTAATAAAAAAAAATAAGATGGGATATATATTATGTTATTACTAATTTGCCATTAAAAATATACCAAAGTAAGAGTATATTAGTTAGTTCTTTCTTTTACAAAAACACTCGTCCTTTTATAGTAGTATTTTGAGTTATCATTTTAGTTAGCACAACATTTAGACATAGAATATAATAAAACATTTGGACTAAATATTACATAAGATTATTTTGTAGATATTGTTTACAAGAACCAATAGCTACTTAGCTAAGAGAATCATAACGATTTCTTCAAAGATTTTTAATGGCAAATTAGTAATACAGTAATATCCATCTTATTTTATATTTTTAATTAACAAATGAACTACCTAAAAAACCCTTACTTTGACTTAATTTTAATGATAAATTAGTAATACACTAATACTCTTCAAATCTTATTTTTTTTTGGTAATCACTAATATTTAATTAAATAAATAACGGCGTAACATTGAAAACTATTACGATACACGCCCAAAGTATGACTCAAATAATTCTAAATTTTACTAAAAATGATGGAGATTGAGGTGGTCTTTGAAGAAATCGTTATGATTCTCTTAGCTAAGTAGTTATTTGAAAAACAATAACTCTTCCACATAAGTCCACCAAAACAAATTGGTTCTTGTAAACAATATCTACAAAATAATCTTATGTAATATTTAGTCCAAATATTTTATTATATTCTATGTCTAAATGTTGTGCTAACTAAAATGGTAACTCAAAATATTACTATAAAAGGACGAGTGTTTTTGTAAAAGAAAGAACTAACTAATATACCCTTACTTTGATATATTTTTAATGGCAAATTAGTAATAACATAATATATATCTCATCTTATACTTTTTTTATTAATAACTAATATGTACCTAAATTCTCTTTATTTGACATATATTTAACCTCAAATTAGTAATACACTAATTCTCATTTAATATTTTATTCATTTAATACAATTAAATGAACAAAACATTCCACATCTCTTAAAAATCAACCACAATATTCACACCATTATTCTTCAAGAATTTGGTTTCTTCCACATATCTCCCAAGCCGTTTTCTTCAATATCTCTAA